TATATATATATATATATATATATAAACCTTTTTATTTCAGCTAGTTTCCAAGGCAGCATTTCTCATTTTTATTTAGTTTAACATGATGTACTAAAACTAAAACTGAAATAAAAATTAATTAAAAAAACTATATAAACATATATTAAAATCTACTAAAAATGACAAAAACACACACAACAAAAATCAGGAACAATTTCAAATTAAATCTAAAAAAGAAGGATTCAACATATTAAACAAAACTATATAAATATCTCTGATACTCAAATAGCACTAGTTTACATGGTCATCTAAATAAATAAATAAATACATAATCAAAATATCTGCTTCACACAAGAGAAATCAGATTTGGGACACTTGCAACTGCAAGTAGCTTGAGTAACAAAGGGCCTGTTTTCAACAGCAATCTGTGTCTAGTATAGTGTGTTATGATGTAATTATCACCAAAAAATGCAGCTGAGGCAGGCGTGCTAATGTTCCCTCTCATGCTAGCTGCAGATTTCTGCAAACTCAAGACACTCATCCCTCACTTTAAAATGGCTGCTGTGCTCTGAGATACGTGTGGACCTAAATAAACGGTCTCAGCGACTAGCCTCCGGGATTCACTCAGATCCAGCTCTCTCAGCCACACAGGAGCTCAGTAAAACACACACACTGTGGCTAATTGGCAAGACGATACGAATTATTCCACAATTACATAAGCCAGGACCAGGTAAATGAGCAAAGCACATGCAGAGTGAGAGTTAATATTGTTCCAGATAAGCATACAGCACATTAAAATCATAACGAATCTGCATATCTAGTACAGATTTCAAAAACAAGATCTTGTCATATTTTAAACAAAGACACTGCTAAGTATAACACAGCACAATGTGTGAAAGAAGCAAATTACATTTACTTAAACAGAAAACACTTAATGTCCTGTAGTTCTGATTAATTGACATTGACGGTCTCATTTTATCTGATCACTTTCTAAAAATAAATAATTATAAATAATAAAATAAAATAGCATTTAATTATACTACTTTTCCTATTAAAGGATTTAAAAAATAAAATAAAATGAAATTACAAAGTAGGTTTGCTGACACAATTTATCTCACTGTTTCTCCCTGGCTTTTAATAAAGAATGTCCAGAAGTTCATACAAGCTGAATCCTGTATATCTCATTTAAGTCTCTAGTGGTCTACCAGCCCCAGACCACAGAGCACTACTGTTCTGTAATAGTACATGTAAGTATCTGATGCACTCTAAGCTCTCTCAAAAAAAAAGAACAGCACTTATGTTTGTCTGTGGTTTCCTCTCCATCAAGTTCAATTCCTATGAAAAAAAAAATGGCTTAAACTCAATCTATATCAAAAAGAGAGCCCATTCAATGGATAGATTCCAAAATTTCAGGATTGGATGAGAGGACTGCAGAGCGGGTGATGTTTAATTATGGTAATGCACCCATCAGAGGCTGTTGAGAAGGATGACATGATCTTTGGGTGCAGAGGAAGTGTGAATCCGTGAAAACCATATCTCATTATAACCCACATCTGCATATGTCAATGTCATTTGTAATTGCCCTTAAGTGAAGCCCCATGTATTAACTTAACATAGCCACTGCCACATGACAATAAAAGGCAAGGCTTGGCTGTGGGTTTGAGGGGCCTGAATCAAGATCATGAAAATGGGACAAAGCAGTGAAAAAAAAAACTTTCTTTTATAATAAATTACATTCATATTTATGTTTTTATTTTTATACTAATTTTATAATTTAATTAATTTTTTAAAATAAAGTACAGAAGCTAAATATACAGAATAATATCATTTAAATAACATTTTCTGCTGAATTAAATTAAAGAAATTATGAACTGCCCAGCAAATGAACCATCTAGTCCTGTGCGTTTCAAAAAGTACCTTAGCCTGTGCTCAGGTTTCAAATCCTTGAAAGAAAATGATCAAAAGCTGTTTATTATTCTGTTCAAACCCCCAGCCAACCAAAGGAAAATCTAAACCAAAACAGCTAAATGGAATGCGGCACAACACAAAGCGTTTCTCAAGGCAACATTTCAATTCATTGGAGTCCTGTGGCAATAAGAAATTGTCTCCCCTGAGATGTAAAATGTCCTGTGAAACTGGAAGGGTAAAATGGGAACAAGACTCTTAATTGATCTGGCCTGTTTCCCTGGTTCACTCTGTAGAGAGCAGCTGTTTGGTATACATGTTGAATGATTCCCATTCAATGTAGGTCAGTGATGGAATGACCCAGAACAAGATGGCAAAATTTATCCCAAGAATCCAATTTCAAACTACAGACATAATGGCAGGGAATTCTCTTTAAGAGAGAGCATTCAAAGTCCCAATGGCTTGCTCCTGTCCAGCACAATGATTAGATTAAAACCCAGTTACAGTACTTCAAGTGCTTGTGTTTGAGATCTATTCAATAAGATGGTCTTTATTACATGCCGGGTCCTTTGGTTTGATTCAAATGATGAGCACAAGTAACTAAAACTAATTCATCTGAAACTCCTACTCGGATAAAATAAATGCTCTAACTTATCTTTGAATTTGTCCAAAAAAATACAACCTGCATTTTATTGTACACAATTATCATGCCAGATTTCTTGTAATTTATTAAAATGACCATATTCTACATTTCTGGAGCATTTATTTATTTATTATGAAAAAAACTGTTATATTTCTTATTGTAATTTAGTCATTCATTTCGGACCTTTATAATTAAACAGACTGCAGACATTTTTGCAGTTTTCATAAATGATTTCTGAAGGTTAGATTATGTCTACACAGTACATCAAACCCTTTTTTCAAAACAGCAAGGAAAATCCTGTTTTCCGAGATATGTTCCCTATACATTTTTCATGCCTGGAGGTGGTGGTGTGGGATGAAGGTGCTGAGGTTGCAATACAGGCCTAAAACCACAATACTCACCCCTCCCACTCGCTCGAAGTGGTCGGCGTCCTGATGGAAATCAATGGGCTGACCGTTAAAGGCCCAGGAGAAGGCCACGTCCAAGGCTGGATCGGCAGTCACCTGGCAGGGCAGCACGATGCTCTCACCCACCGTGATCTCTGTGCTGCTGGGGCCCTGGCTGATCCTTGTGGGCTCTGTTAGTTACAGTGTCAACACAGTCTGTCAGTTTAGCTCTGGAACACATACTGAGGCGAGAAAACCACTTCCGTAGCCAGGCAAATAACAAGACACATTTTTTTTTTTTTTCCAAAAATCTAGTGAGCTGCCACCGGAGGAAGCATTTTAAAGCATTATAGGCATGATCCCAACACATGGCTTCATAATTACTCTGCTTTATAATATTTAAATGCTCTGCAGCAAGCTCTAATTAAAGGGATAGTTCACTCAAAAATGAAAATTCTGTCATTAATCGTAGTTCCAAACCTGTAAGACCTTCGTTCATCTTTGGAACACAAATTAAGATATTTTTGATGAAATCTGAGAGCTCTCTGACCCTCCATAGACAGCAAGGATATTACCATGATCAATGCACAAAAACATAGCAAGGACATCAGTAAAATAATCCATGTGACATCAGGGGTTCAACCGTAATTTTACGAATCTACGAGAATACTACTTGTGCGTAAAGAAAACAATAATAACATAACTTATTCAACAATTATTCTCCCCAAGTTACCATCTTCCGCCATTTTGGAGAGTACCCCAGAAACGTAATCAGTGTTGTTTACGTTCAGCATGCGCACTTTGTCTACTGAACCTTAACAACGCTGATTACATTCAGTAGACAGTGCGTGCATGCTGTTATTATTGTTTTCTTTGCGCACAAAAAGTATTCTCGTAGCTTCGTAAAATTACGGTTGAACCCCTGATGTCACATGGACTATTTTACCGATGTCCTTGCTACGTTTCTGGACGTTGATCGTGGTAATATCGTTGCTGTCTATGGAGGGTCAGAGAGCTCTCAGATTCCATCAAGAATATCTTAATTTGTGTTCCGAAGATGAATAAAGGTCTTACGGGTTTGGAAAGACATGAGGGTGAGAAATTAATGACAGAATTTTTATTTTTGGGTGAACTAACACTTTAAGACAAAAATCTATTAGAAATACTGTTAGAAATATACTTGGTATAGAATATACAATATATACATTTATATTACGGGGCCGTTGAATGCTTGAATCTGATTGGCTGACGAACGTTCTGAGGTGTGCAATTATTTTCAGGGAAACGCACGGCGAACGTAGTTCCAGGCAGCTCTCTTGACCGCATTACAGTTTCATATCACTTCGCATAGTTAACTGTAATAACGGAAATTAGCATACAGTACCTATACAGCACACAGGAATTACTGCAATCACACGTGCTCGCACACGCACACTACGGTCACGCAGTTTGCACAAAAAGGTGTTGTCAGCGCTGCCCTGCCGATTTTATCGCTTAGCC